CCCCAAAACCCCAAAACCCCGTTTGAGAGTAAATCTCTCAAGAAATGAATGATTTTTCTGAGTCATAGTATTTAAAGTATTTAATAGTGCGGCAAGTATAATCATTAAATTAATAATCTTTTCCTAATCATTCGTATTTGAATTCAAATGTAAGGAGCTGCTTTACCCATCAAACTTTCTGAGGTCTTCAAACTCACCAATGTTGGCCTTAACCCAGACCTCTTCAAGTTCGGAAACCTCACCCTCGAGTCAGAAAAGTACATCTGTGTCAAGGATGGAGCTGTAAGTATCAAATTCATTAGCAGAATCTTCTAATTATAACTACCTCCACTATGGCTGATTGTTAAATTTTGATGTTATCTAGGATTGTGTCATTATTGACTCAAGCAAAGGATTTGCTGCTGACAGAAAGCCAATGAAGGCTGATGCCATCCTCATGCATAGAACTAGAAATGTGATTGCTGTCAGAGCTGCTAATGGAGAGAACACTGTCGTCTAGGTATATTCTTCCTAATTTCTAATTTCAAATTTTAGGTCTTTGATCTAGACACTAGACAGAAACTCAAGCAATTTGAAGTCCCAGAATCAGTCACCTTCTGGAGATACGTCTCATTGACCAAGATTGCCCTTGTTGGTAAAGTTGCTGTCTATCACGCTGATATTACCACTCAAGATGCTCCAGTTAGAGTGTTCGAGAGGTATAAATTTAACTTTAAGTAATCGTATCTTTAGAGCTTCACAACTAGCTAACTGCCAAATCATGTCCTATGGTGTCGACTCTTCAGAGAAATGGTGCTATCTTGTTGGTCTTTACTCAAATGATCAAAGAAGCATCAATGCCCATATGCAGCTTTTCTTCACTGAGAAGAGACAACAACAACTTATTGAAGGATATGCTGGTTGCTTCACTGATATCCCAATCACTGAGAATACATCATACAAGAACAGTATTTTCTGTTTCTGTGAAAAGAAGGCTGCAGAGACATCCTAAAAGATTCATTTCATGGAAATCGGAAACCCAGCACCAAACTGTCAGAAATTCAAGAGAAGCGTGGAGATCCAAATGCCACCCGATGTTCAAGGCGATTTCCCAGTCTTAATGCAATCAGTTGAAAAATATGGAGTCGTCTTCGTTATCACCAAGTTCGGATGGCTCTACATGTACGAGGTCTCAACCTCAGTCCTCTTATACAGACAAAGAATTACTGACTCACTCATCTTTGTTGCTACCAAGTCACTCAATGATGACGGAACAATCTGTGTTAACAAGGCAGGTTAAATCCTCCAAATTCTCATTGATGAACAAAACTTCATTCCATTCATCATTAATCATGCTAAGCACATTCCAGACAATGTTGGAGTCGCATTCAACCTTGCTCAAAGATTCTCTCTTAGAGGAGCAGATGAGCTATTCATCACTTAATTCAATAAACTTCTCACTTTAGGAGACTATGCTGGTGCTGCCAGAGTAGCTAAGGATGCCCCAGGCACTCTTTTGAGAAATTAAGACACAATCAATAAGCTAAAGTCACTTCCATCAACTGGCGGTCCACTCCCAATCATCATCTATTTCTCAACTCTTCTTGAGACAACTAAGCTTAACGATATCGAGTCTATTGAATTGGCTAGACCAGTTCTTCAGCAACAAAAGTTTCAAGTACTTGAGTAATGGATCAATGCTGACAAAATAACTTGCACGTCCCAACTAGGAGACTTGATCAACCAATTCAACCCACAACTTGCTCTCGCAGTACATATGAGATGCAATGCTCCAGACTCCCATGAAAAGATCCTCCAGAGTCTTATTGCAACTGGACAATTTGACAAGATTATGCCCTATTGCCAAAGAACAAATTGCTCCCCAGACTTCGTTAAGCTCCTCAGAAGTGTTGTGCCCATGAACCCTGAGGCTGCAGTCGGTCTAGCTAAGATGATCACTAACAGAGACAATGGCAACATCCCCAAGGCCTCTGTTGATTCAGTTGTTCAGATCTTCCTTGAAGCTGGCAGAATTCAAGAAACTACCGCATTCCTATTGGAAGCTTTGATCCAAAACAGACCAGATGAAGGTCATCTTCAAACCAAGCTTTTCGAAATTAACCTTATGAGTGCTCCAAACGTTGCTGAGGGAATCTTCTAATTGAACAAGTTCACTCACTACGACAGGGAAAGAGTTGCCAGACTTTGCGAGTAAGCTGGTCTCTATGGCAGAGCTCTCCAAAACTACACAAGTCTCTAGGATGCAAAGAGAGTTATGCTTAACACTCATGCTATCCCCAAGGACCACCTTATTGAGTACTTCGGCAGACTTAACGAAGAAGATATTCTCCAATGTCTATTCGATTTACTCAAGAGCAACAGACAAAATGTCGGACTAGTTGCTGAAATTGCAGTCAAATACGCCAGCAAGGTCAACACTAAGAAGATTATTGAAGTTCTAGAAAGCTTTGGCTCAAATGAAGGCATGCTATTCTATTTGGCTAACGTACTTCCACACACCGATGATCCAGATATTTACTTCAAGTACATTGAAGCTTGTGCCAGACTCGGAAACTACAAGGAAGTTGAAAGAGTCATCAGAGAGACTAACTTCTACGACCCAATTAAGGTGAAGGACTTCTTGAAGGACATGAAGCTTCCAGATCCAAGACCACTTATCTATCTCTGCGACCAGCACAACTTCATTGAGGAACTCACTAGATACCTCTACAAGAACAAGCAAAACAAATTTATTGAGATCTATCTTTTCAAGGTCAACACTGCTGCTACTCCAAAGGTGCTCGGTACTCTACTCGACTTAGACTGTGAGGAGATCTACATAAAGCAAATCCTCAATTCAATGAGAGTTTGCCCAATTCCAGAACTCGTTGACGAATTCGAAAAGAGAGGCAAGCTCAAGCTTCTTCAAGGCTGGCTTGAGGCTAGATACGAAGAGAGAATTCAAGAACCTGCTCTTCACAACGCCCTTGCTATGATCTATATTGACATTAACAAGGACCCATAGACTTTCCTTATTAACAACCCATACTATGACAGCAAGATCGTTGGTAAGTACTGTGAGGAGAGAAACCCAGATCTCGCTTTCATTGCTTACAAAAGAGCATGGGGTTCATGCGATATGGAGCTTGTAGAAGTTACCAACAGAAATTACCTCTACAGAATGCAAGCAAGATATCTTGTCGAGAGACAAAGCCCAGAGCTTTGGAGCCATGTCCTTCAAGAGACCAACCCACACAGAAAGCAAGTCATTGACCAAGTAGTCTAAACTGCTCTCCCAGAGACCAAGAATGCTGATGAGGTCTCAACTACAGTCAAGGCTTTCATGGATGCAGATATGCCAAATGAACTCATTGAATTACTCGAAAGAATCGTTCTTCACAACTCAGATTTTGCAAACAACAAGAACTTGCAAAATCTCTTGATTCTTACTGCTATTAAGGCTGACAAAGCTAGAGTTATGGATTACATTAACAGACTTGACAACTATGATGGTCAAGAACTCGCCAAGATCGCTAAGAAAGATCAATATCAACTCTACGACGAGGCACTCTGCATCTATAAGAAATTTGGTGAACATGTTGAAGCTGTTAGAGTTCTAATAGAAAACCTCAAGAACATCAAAGCTGCAACTGAGTATGCTGAGAAAGTAAATAAGCCAGAAGTTTGGACTGAAATTGGAAAGGCTCAACTTGACTTATTCCAAATCAGAGAAGCTATTGATGCTTTCATCAAAGCTAGAGATCCATCAATGTATGCCCTTGTCATTGGTACTGCTGAAAACCAAGATTGCTATGAGGAATTAGTTCAATATCTCCTAATGGCCAGAGTCATGCTTAAGGAGCAAATGATTGACTCAGAGTTGGTCTTTGCCTATGCTAAGTGTGGTCAAAGATACCTCCCAGAACTCGAGACCTTTATCACTGAACCAAATCAAGCTGATATCTCAAAATGTGGAGATAGATGCTATGATGACAAACTCTTTGAAGCTGCCAAGATTTTATACACTCATCTTGGAAATAATCAAAAGCTTGCTCAAGTTTTGGTTAAGCTAAAGCTATATCCAGCTGCTTTCGAAGCCGCCAAGAAGGCAGATATTCCAAAGGTATGGAAAGAAGTTTGCTTCGCTTGTGTTAGAGCAAAGGAATTCAGAACTGCCAACCTTTGCGGTCTAAAGATTATCATTCTTCCAGATCACTTAGAAGATCTCATAAAGCACTACGAGAGATTCGGCTTCTTCGAGGAACTTGTTTCTCTCCTAGAACAAGGAATGAGTCTTGAAAGGTCTCATTAAGGTATCTACACTGAATTAGGTATTTTATATGCCAAGTATTCTCCACAAAGATTAATGGATCATATCAGAACTTATGCTCAAAAGATTCAAATCCCAAAACTTGCTAGAGCTTGCGAATAGTATTAAATGTGGCCAGAGGCTGTTTTACTCCATACCCAATATGGATAATTCGACCAGGCTGTTATTACCATGATGGAGCACTCACCAACCGCCTGGAAACATGATCAATTCTCTCACAATATTGTCAAGGTTTCAAACCACGATCTCTACTACAGAGCTATGATTTTCTATCTTGAGGAAGAGCCAATGCTCCTCAATGATCTCCTTAGATTACTCTCAATGAAGATTGATCTCACTAAGTGTGTTTAAGTTATGAAGAGAACTGGACATATTGCCCTCATTACCTCATTCTTAAAGAGCGTTCAAGGCCAAAACATCTCTGCTGTCAATGAGGCATTAAATGAAATTTATCTTGAAAATGAGGATTATGAGAGTCTTAGACAATCTATTAAGGAATACGACAGCTTTGAGTCACTCAAGCTTGCAAGCGATCTTGAAAGACACGATTTACTAGAATGCAGAAGAATTGCTGCCCTTCTCTACAGAAAGAACAAGAGATTCCAACAATCTATCGATATCTCAAAGAAGGACGAACTCTACAAGGATGCTATGGAGACTGTAGCAGAGAGCAGAGACCCAACTCTTGCAGAAGATCTTCTAAGACACATTATGCATATGGAGGACAAGGAACTCTTTGCTGCTATGCTTTACACTTGCTACGAACTTGTGAAGCCAGATGTTGCCCTTGAGGTAGCCTGGAGATGTGGACTTTATGAATATGTTATGCCATACTTCATTCAATTCGTAAAGGATCTCTCACTCAGAGTTGATACTGTACAAAAGAAGACTGATGATATTAAGAAGAAGGAAGAGAAGAGTCAAGCTGAACTTGCTAATCAGCCAATCATCGATCATCTCGACATTGGTGGATTCTTGTTCCCCAACATGGTTGGCAATGGTCTTCAAGCCCTTATGCCACCTCCAGGCTCAATGCCAAACATGAACCCAATGGGAGGAATGAACTTCGGAACTGGCTTTGGCACTGGTCAACAATGGTGATTACTTTCAAGATTATAGTGAATTAAATTCAAATTTTATAAAGCTTTACCCACCCAATCATTTGATATTTCTTGGGGTTTTGGGGTTTTGGGGTTTTGGGGTTTTGGGTTCAT